ATGTGGCACGATTAAGAAAAATATACATACATATATTTTATAAATATATGTATATAATATAAACGTGGCCAAATATAAATCAAACGTTCAATCATCACTCAAAATTTAATTACAGGTTTAAAACGAGGTTCCTTCTATGACGACAAACAACCGAACCTGATTTTTTCTAATTATTCCTCTTTCTCGCCTTTCCCTCCCTCCCTTCCTCCCTCCTTCCTCTTCTTGCCTTCTCGCTTTTTCGTACTTTTTTCCAAAACGAAATCGTAGCCCTTATTTAAATTATTTGAAAATATAACAGAAACGTTTTTGTCACCTCTCCTCTCCTCTCCAAAAGGTAGACATCATCTTGTTTCGCTGTCTGATACTGTCACTCCTGAATGTGCCGGCTCGTCTTTACTGGTCCTTTCCTAAATGAAAGAAAAAAAATGTAATAACAATTAGTAAAGACAAATGAAAAAACTTTATAAAAAAAAAAAAAAATTTTCTGTTGTTTCATCCGCATTCTACCTACTTACCATCGAGTAAAAACGCGCGTATTTTTTCTCTCTCTATCTCTCTCTCATTTTTACCTTTTCTCCACTCATCAATCTTGCAAAAAAGAAATCGTGAATTTAAATATTATCGTTCTAACCCTAAAAGGAAACTTTTTTATTTGTAATACTTCGTACGAGAAAAAACTACAAAAAAAAAAAACGTTTCGGATGATATCGTCGCGTTAAAATCATCGTACAATTAGCAGACGATGTCTTAAAAAAATTTTTCTACGCGAGAAAACATGCGTGAGTGAGTGCGTGCGTGAAGCAAATAACGACCGTTAAAAAAAATTTATTTATTTATTTATTTACTTATTTTTTTTTTTCGCAAGTTGGCCGTCCTACATAGTGCGATTTCCTGGATGGTTTCTTCTTTTAGGTTCTTCAAAATCTTCTTTAAATTTTCTTTCATTGAATGTGGCATGGCTCCCAATGCTCCCACGATGACCGGAATCGTTTCTGTTTTTGTTCCCCACATGCTGGCTATTTCAATTTCCAAATTTCTATATTTCAGCCTTTTGTCTGCTTCTTTGGCTGTCTGGTGTTTTTTTCTGCCGGCACGGATACCTCAATTAACTTACACCATTTTTCCGCATTACGCCTGAGGATGATATCCGGTTTGTTGGCTGGCACAATTCTGTCAGTGTGGATTTGTTGATCATACAAAACTGTGCATGGACCTTCTGTCTTTACCGGGGTTGGAATGTGGTTGTACCACTCCTTGGGTAATCCATCCATTCCATATTCTCGGCATATACTCCAATGGAGATATTGACAAATTTTATTGTGTCTTTCTAAGTATTCATGTTTTGCCAGTATCGGGAAACCGGAAATTAAATGGTC